GACTAGTCACTGTTTATGCATTGAAAAATATGACCGTCTCAGACAGAAAGAAGGTATGTTTCGCTGCATAAAAAGTCAGCATTGCTCTGTACCTGATGCAAGCAACTAAACCTCCTGTTCCTTGGTAGTAATTTATTACTTTGAATCTGCTGAGGTTATGGTTGTAGTATTGGCCTATAACTGCATCATCATTAAGAAAGGACTGTATTTGCTGTGGATCCTAAGGCAATGGAATGAAACTGCAGAACAGGTGTTTTCTTAAGGCATTATTAAAGCACCAGCACTAGGATCACCTAATGTTAAGTGCTTTTGCTTGAGCTCAGTGATATTATCTCAGGAGAAAATAAATCAGTCAATCAATTGGCAAAAAGTGATGTACAAGTCTGGGATTGATAGTTGTGATGCATTGTAAGTAGAAGATCCACGTTCATCATTTTGAATTTGTTTACAAAATGGGGAACATGAAAAAAGGTGTAAGAACTATGTATAAAATTATAGGCTAAAAGTATTAATGAATGTTGGTATAATTGGAACACCTGTGTAACATTTAAAATGGCCTGTAAGAATATGGTTTATGATAAATTTCAACTATATTTTTTGTGTGCTAAGACAGTAATATTTAGGTTAGGGCTTATTGTTGGCAATCAACAGGTCATTTTGGATAGGACAGAAATAGAGAAAGACTAATCTATACCATAAATACTGGATATTCTTATTTATAGTATTAAAAACTAATTTTCTTTAAGATTTTTCAGAATTGAGTACACAGTGCATAGGCTTTTCTTAATGTATTCAAAATGCCTTTCAATATTTTTGTTTTATATCGATAAATATATTTATTTCTTTTTCAGGTGGATATGTTGCATGATATGATCGGCTCTAAACTAGCCAGTCCAGAGTAGTTTTTTTAACTGAAATATTTAATAAAAGTGAAGATGATGTAAAACATGGCATTTAATAGCTCACCACAAAAAACGTAATTATTAAATATGTATCTGGTTCTGTATATATGTCTGTGACTGTTTTCCATATATAATACATCTACAAAGACAATATGCGGTGAATGTTTTTAAAAAGCCCCTAAATGTTTTATGGAAAGTACCAGAGGTGGTATTCAGCAGGTTCTGACCAGATCTGGAGAACTGGTAGCGGAAATTTTGAGTAGTTTAGAGAACCGGCAAATGCCACCTCTGACTGGAGATTTTACAGTATCCTTCCCCTGCCACGCACACCAAGCCATGCCCACAGAACCCATAGTAAAAAAAATTGAATCCCACCACTGGAAAATACTAATAATTGATTTCAAATAGTCCTCACTTAGCTACTATAATTGGGACCAGAAATTCTGTTACTAAGTGACAGGGCGTAAAACATGATATTATGTGTCCACACCAACTTATGATGACAGTTTTAATAGTTCTGGTTGCGGTAGCTAGGTGGGATGTCATATCACCACCACGTGCCACCTCCTGCCAGCTTCTGCATTGACTTAGCTTGTCAGAAGGTGGCAGGGAAGGCCATAAATGGCAATTGTGACTGCAAACCACTGCAACCATTGTAATTGCAAGTCTGTTGCCAATCACCCAAATCAAGATTACATAATGTTGCGATGGCCACAATTTCAAGGACTGTAAATAAGTCTCCGCATTCAGCACTATTGTAACTTTTTGCGGCCTCTGAATGAACAGTTGCTATCTAAGGGTACCTGCAGAAACAAACGCAAGCATTCAAACACATATAATGAAAGATAACTCTCTTTTTTGCTATGAATGACAGGTCAGTGTTTAAATTGTGCCTGGATTCAGGATTGTTTTTGTTGACGCTATTCTAATACTTTTTTAAAATTATTGGGGAGGGGGGGAGATAGATAAAGAAAGAAAAATCCAAATCTTATTCCACAGGTAACTAAGATCCATACTGGTATTGATTGGTTAGCATCAAAGTAAGGGAGGCCAATTTATAATTGGTCATATAAATATAGGAAGTCTCCAGATTATGAACCTCCAAGTTAGAAACAACTCCTAGTTATGAATAGGCTGCCTGCAGTATTCAAAATGGTGGGTGGCCATCTGGCAAAGAGATACATCTCAAAAAAAGAAAGGCCGGCAAGGAGAGTTCCTGTGCTGCAGACGGAGTAGTCCTAGTGATGTTTCTCTCTTGTGCATGGCTGTGCAACACTGTCCCACTGCTATTTTTCTAACCCCTCTTCTTCAGCTCACTTTGCATGTGTTCCTACTTGCATGTCTCTCTCTGTGTGTGTGCTCTGACAAGCCAAGTGAGCACTGGAGATTGGAAGGTTAGGAGGTTTGGATATCAGTTCTGGGGAATTTTTTTATTTTGTGGGTTGTGGGTTTTTTTTTAGGTATTTTTAAGGGCATGCTGGGTTATACAAATTTGGGGCATCTGGCACACTAAACGTGTTTTCAGCAGTTCATAGTTTGACAAACTAAATAACTAAATAACCTGTTCCATTCTTACATGTAAATTCAACTTAAGGGCAAATTTAGGAATGGAACTTGTTTTAACCTGGCGGCATGCTACTTATCAGGATTTTGTTGGCCTCCAGTCCGGACAACGTGTGACAGATTTGCTCTGAAATATTGCTGATTCTTCAGAGTTTTATGAGAAGCAGCATTGGACACTGGAAAGGGAAAGGGCTGTTGCTGAACAAGTTCTCCTTCTTCTTCTCCAGCACAAAACCACAACTGGTCTTGTCTGCAATAATCTGCAGATAAAAGGAAACCTCCAGCCCAATCTAGACCAGTCCCTCCATATATAGGACATATGGCTTTTCCATTCTTAACTTATTTAAAGGTTCTACATTATTGAATCATTCCAAATCTTGTAAGCTAGGGAGCTGTCACAAACAAATATTATAATTTTTAGTTGTATCATCAAATTGGCTTCCCAAGCATGGCAACAAGAACAGAATGTTTAAACAGGTCAAATTATAAACTGGTTAGAAAGCATTAACACCAATCCCTAAGTGCAGTTTACACATCTTTATGAAGAAATTATGTGACAACTGTCTCCTGTCATGTTTCTAAAGAGGGCATGCATTAGAGTGAACAGTGTGTTAATCATTATCCTTCTAAAAGTGACAAAAGGATGCATCCTTTCTTTTAAGAGCAGATAGAGATGGTTTTTATTTGTTGGTTCTACTAAAGAACTGAATATTTTAATGCTTTTGTAAGCTGAAAAGTATCATCAAGGTTAATGATATTCTATGTCAAAGTTAACAGTCATCAACACTTATGTCTTGAAGTTGGAGAAAGTATGTGATGTAAGTATCAATAGGTTTCTTTATATTATAGCTACTATGTATTTTAAAGCAAAAATAGATAAACAACTAGTCTCAGCTACTTTTTCCAGTAAAAAAATTAGAAAGAAACCTATTTATAAAGCTGGCCAATATTCAAGGGATTCTGAGGAAGTTCCTTTCTAGTCCAAAGATTAATTTAATTTAACTTTTAGTAGATATTCCAAAGGATCTGGGATGACAGAAGCCCATAAAATGAGTACTGTGTACCAACCTCTGACCTTCAAAAACACCCTTTAAAAAAGCACCATATAATAAATTCTAAAAAATCTCCATATCCAAACTACCAAGTGTGTAATGAAGTACAATTACAATTGATCAAACAATCCAGATCAGAATTTGTCAAAGGAAAAATGAAAACGATATACATTTGCATACTGACAGGCTTCTTTTCTTAATAATACAAGGTTCTCTGAGCTAGCTTGCTTCCTTACAAAAAAGATATGGGTGGTTGTTTTTTCCCCCCAGAGAGGCAAAAGTAACTTGCATTGCACTCCAAACTGCAATTTTGTGAGTTTTTGTATATATCATTTAAAGATATATACAGAATAACATAACTGAAGATTACCTGTGTGTGTTTCCTCATGTTACGCTTACCAAGAATTTCTGTCATTGTACTTGGGAATTGTTTTGCTGTTCCTGCTCCAATATTGCATCTTGCATAATTCACTGCACACGGACTAAAAATGGGCGGTAAATAGCTCTCCTAGGATGGTATCCTACTGTTCTAACAGGCTACTAGCCTGACAACAGCCTTGTGTCCATTTCTTCTGTTTATTCATATCTTACCTTTATTATTTTTATAAGCACCTTAAAGCAGCAAATATATCTAATAGTCCTTCCATCTCCTATTTCCCCCACAACAACAACTCTGTGAGGTGGATTGGGCTGAGAGAGAGAGTGACCAGCCCAAAATCACCCATTTCATGCTTAAGATGGGACTAGAACTCACTGTTTCCTTATTTCTAACCTGGTGCCTTAACTGCTTGGCCAATCTGGCTGTCTTTCTTGTTTCTAGTGATGGAAATAGAATCCTTGGAAAAGACAAAAGTTAGCAAGCTCAACTCACTTTTCAAGGATCAGGCAATCAAAAATAATTGTTTCAGTACTAATATAGGCATGTGGAGTCAGGTGGCAAAATGTTGATCATGAAGACCTAATGCAAGGTCTAACATAATTTATGTGGATATCACATAATTTATGTGGATATTATATTTGGTGAGTTTGAGTTATAATGCCATCCATGCATGTTATTTTTAATATCACTATGGCTAGCTGTGAACATCTACGAGTGCTATCAAAAGTTAATTCTGTTATCAACAATTGTTTTCAGCAATTGTGAATAACTATGCTCATAGTTATTTTAGTTTTATCTATAGGCAGAAGCCAAAGCAAGACACTTTTATGATCTAAAGGCTTTTTCTCTGAGTTTCAACTCTCTGCAACATCCTATGTCATTCTTGCTAGGTGAAATCCATAATTTCAGAAACCGATACTATCTTAAAATAGATTCTATCAGAGTGCAGCAGAAACATAGAAAAACAAATCAAAATACGAAATTATTGTCTGTCATTCCAAAATTATTCATTGATGGTTTTCAAAATCTGTGCAAAATTTAAATACAAAAGATCAATTGCTGGACCAACACATACATGATTAAAGTGTTGGAAAAACTCAGGGATTCCAATAATTCTGCTAAATGTTCCAAAGCAACTTGGAATGTTCTTACTAGCTAAGTTAATTAACTGCTTAAAAATTTAGCAGCCACAATAACTTGCACTTCGTTAAATATCACAAGCAAAACTTTGGGATGTGGGCATGAAGTGCACATTTGTAATATTGATCTAAGACAGAATAATTCTATAAATGTTCTGGAACACTGACTGCAGCTGTTCTTGGCCAATATAGTGATATACTGAAACATCAGTAACTATTTGAGAACAACCCAGGCACATAACCTACAGCACTTAAAGCCATCAGAAAAACATTTTACTAGTTCTGCCCACGTCATTCAACCAACAGCCCAGATACATATAAATTGATGCCGGATCTCAGCATGAACCTCTGTTGGCTCTTTACTTCTTTCCTGCTCAGATTGCTACCAGGTGTTTTATCTACAAAATGAAGGTGGTACTAGTAGGGCTGCTTTTTCTCTGTGTCATGGCCATACCTTCTGAAGCAACAACTATTAAACTCTGCGGGAGAGAATTGATCCGAGCTGTTACCTTTGCTTGTGGAGGATCACGGTGGAGAAGACAACTTGGTGATCCTTTCTCAGAAGGGCTCAGAGGTGAGCATACAAATTGCCCAAATGTTTGTAATTTTGGCATGCGATCAGTCATTGCAATAAATTTACCATTACCTTGATATGCTATGGTTTAACGGAAACATTTTAAAGATGAGTTATATTATAAAATTAAATAACATAATAACGTATAAAATAGGCTACCGTGGATAAATCTCATTCTGCCCTATTTTGAAGGTAGGGGCACCAGAGGAGGTTCTTAAATGGACTAGAGCTGGCAGTTACTTTTTCAAGTCCCTATGCCTCAACCTGTGCAAGCTTTGAAATATGCTACATAATATTGTGAACAATATTGCATAGGATAATACACATTAATCAGTTTTTAGATTTCTACAAGTTATTTTTTAATGATAGCTGTTGGGATTATTTTGTTTTAAATAGTTAGATACAGATATTTAGAGACTTAAGTATAGAATATAGCAATTTCGAACTTTAAAGGAGTCTGTTCGGATATATATTTTGGTGAATGAAGAAACATCTCTTAAGATTCAGTGAAATCAGGTGCATATCAAGATTACAAAACTCACAAATCAGTTTGCTTTTGATCTTTTGAAGTTAGTATATAATTCCTATTCTAATTGGAGAAGCCTTTGGAAAAAAAATATAATTTTCTTCATTCTTTTGAAAAAGAAGTTAGCTTCAATTGGGGATATACTTTCTGGGAAAGCAATGCTTGTTCCAGTATAAATTCTTAAGATTGAAACTTCCAGGTTGATCTTCTAAATATTAACAACAGATTATGCACACACAGAAAAATTTTAAAAACATAAGCTTTTATTTGGTAATAGTTTCAGATTTTAGGTTTGTGGAGATAAAAATACATATTCATACAGTAATTTAATCTCATTCAACAGATGCCAATGGAAATTACATGGAGAAGTCAAAATCCCAAAGCAACGAATTAATCCAGTACTACATGGAGTCCGAGAAAGATTTGCAAGACAAGCAACAGAAGTCTGTACAAAAAAGAAATGAGGATTTCGTACAGCTTACAATCACTTGTTGTGCTATTGGATGCAGTGCAAATACTATAAATTCGCTGTGCTAAAAATATTAAAATCCAGCCATGGAAACTTATCTAAATAAGACACATCTTGTCGAGAATATAGTGTTTCAAATCTTTTCTGTTACTCTTTGTATTTATGTTTCTCTTTGTATTGCAGATGCTCCTAGCTGCTATTCTGTTTAGGATGTTACACAAATTAGAAACATTTTTGCCATATTTGTGTATCAGCCTCTGAAGTTAGCTGCTTTGTTTCCTAATTTTTGAAATAAATGTGTAATTCGTTTCCCTAGACTGTTCTTGTCAATGCATAAAAATAGTATTGGGCTTGCAAATTAAAAAAATCTCTGAACATGTTTCACTTTCTTAGGGAGTTAAATGTTGAATGAATGACTAGAGCTCAGTGGTTCAGCAAATCCATGATAAAGCTAATAGAAATCCTGACTGAAATCCTGGAATGACAGCCAGAAGAGACAATATTGATGTAGACATTTCAATGTTTATTCTTCTAATTACTTTTTGCCAGGACTGATCTCAAAATAAAGATGCTTCTGAGGTTTTTGCAAGGAAACCTGCAAATAATGATGATCAATGTTTGGTGAAAAGGAGGGGACTATTTGGGGGAAAGAGTGCAGGAAAGAGAATGTTGCAATTTTTTTTTTCAGATTTAAGGAAAGGCCTACCAACATTCTTGGTTGAAAAACTTGGTTTCAAGAAATGCTCAGTACTCCAGAACAGCTGCAGCCCATCTGCTACATATTCCACTTCTACTCATAGCCTCATTCCAGATGCATTTTAATTGGGGTGGGTTGGGGGGAATGTTGCCTCCATTGGACCACGGATTTCAGATGGTGACTGTGATGTCTCTACTCATAAGCTGCAAAGTTTTGTGACTGCCTTACTGTGATTACAACCTTTCATGCCTGAAATTTAAATCAGCTTCAAATCAGGTGCTATTATCTGGGCTACTTATTCTTGTGCATTTTGGTCTTTTAAGATGAGTTATCATGCACTTATTAATGGAAAAATATAAATACAAATAGACAAAAGGTAGCCATAAATGGTTTCTACATATTTTTATTTCAAATGGAATCTTTAAATTTCTTAAACTTTATCCAGTTTATCAATACATTTAACATGTTTTTTATTTTATTTTTATATTATTCAGTTGTAGCTGTTCAATAGGCAGCCTCTTAAGAGTGAGTGGACTGCTCCTTAATCAGTCTTGTTCTTTGTCTGATCATTTTACAAAAAGAAAAGGAACAACACTTCAATTACTACTGCTATTATCTAATTTGCACAGTACCATATGGTTTCCCATTGCCTTTCTATTAACATATACATTTCTCTGAAAAGCCAAACTGTGTTTCAAATGGGTCAGCTTACTTTTCAAACTAATTATCTGTATAAGTATAAATAAATCTGCTTACGCTTATACACCAATAATTATTCAAGAATGTAATTGGATCTCACATTTAAACCTATTATTCCATCAAGGATACTGAATCTCTTTCTGAAAACCTGTAGTGGTGCTTAAAAGTTTGTGAACCCTTCTGAATTTTCAATATTTCTGCACAAATATTACTGAAAATAGGACCTGTTCTCCACACTAAAGAGAACTCAATTAAACTAATGAGTCAAGAACATATTTGTTCATTTATTTGTTGAGCAAAATGCTTCTAAATGACACATTTGTCATTTGCACATGTGCAAATATGCAGAACCACTGAAAAGTCAAAAGGGTTCACAAATTTTTAACTACCACTGTATTCAGGACCAAAAGCCCTGTGTCATTAATTGCAATTACAATAGTGGTGTCTCAAAAAGTTTTTCTTCCATAAACTTTTTCTTCCATAATTAATAGATTATTTAGCAAACATAGCAACAATGCACATTAGTTGATTAATGCAACGTATCATGTTAATGTGGATAGAAGTGTAATTCAAGAATAAGATCTAGTTTGTTTTTCAGCTCACATTTTTTGTATCATTCAGAGTAAAGAGCATAGACATTTGCAAGAGCAAACAATGATCTATTTTTAAAGGAGTATGAAGAAAAAGTATCACTTGTAGTGTCCCAAAGGCATCTACTTCCAATCTGCATGCTCTGTTTACCTAGCTGTCCAATGTATATAATCACAATAATTTTGAATCTTGGTACCATCAGGTCTTTTATCCTGGCTTTTATTACCTAGGAGAAAAATATACTTGCTTAAACTCTTTGTTATTGTTAGAGAGTTAAAATATTTTAGAATACAGTACAAATCTGTTTAAATATTTAACCATTCCATTCTAATTACAATGTATTATTAAATTTGATTTATAATTCCAAATAATTTAGAATATCAAATACCCTTGACTGAAAATCACAAAGCTGATTCTACAGTTAGTCAGGGCACTTACTCCTATGTTATAGACATTTATAAATTCTTAAATTATAAATTGGATCATAAAGTCTTGACTTTCAACTGTTCCCTCATGCAGCGGTGACATCATATTCAGGGGTGGGATTCTACCAGTTCGCACCTATTTGGAGAACCGGTTGTTAGAAGAAATTACTGGTCTAATCCTGTAAGGAAGGCAGGAAGGAAACATTCTGGTGTTGCTTACAGAAACTGCCTCTCTGTTAACCCTTATTACATTCTTGGCAGGACTAGACTTCCTCTCTCAGGAACGTCTCTGGAGTTTTTTTCCCTTCCTTTGCTGGTACAATGCTTGTGTGGAGTGACCATTCAAAGTTACAATGGAACTGAAAAAAGTGACTTATGACCACTTTTCACACTTATGACTGTTGCAGCATCCCCACAGTCATGAGAGGCAAGGCAAGGAGATGCGTGCCTCGATGTGAGTGATATTGAGTTGGCCACGCCCAGCCAATAACATGACCACCAAGCCACGTCCACCCAGTCACATGCCCACCAACTAAGGCACGCCCACAGAACCGGTTGTTAAAAATTTTGAATCCCACCCCTGATCATATTCAATATATGGGAAATATATAAAGGCATATAATAAAGAAAAGTACATTCTAAACAGGCTGAAAAGTTATTTGCAATTTTTTTATTTTACAAAAGAATAGTAAAGTAGCACTAAAAGCTTCTCAACAAGTAACTTGATATATAAATCATAGCTGAAAAAGTTCATTTGAATGTGTCCTAACATAGGCTAGCACAATTATTAAATATTTTTAAAGCTATCTTAATATTTCTCTCTCAAATGTCCCATTTGTTGAACTCTGTTGCTGAAAAACAATTGAACCTTCCTTCAAATACAGCTTAAGATAGGCTCACCTCTATCTGCACTTTAGGGTTTCTATAAGATCTATTCCAATATTGATTTTAATTCTTACTTTAATGATAATTTTGTACCTCAGATATAGTTTTTGTCATTTGCCTGCACAACTCTGCTTCATATTGTTCTTCCTGTAGATAACTTACTACCACATCCTTCAAGATATTATTCACAGCCGTGATTGGGAAATACTTTGTAGGACCTGAGAAGCAGAGAGAGAGTACATAGCATTATTCCAGAAGACTCTAATATGAAAAAAGCCTTGACTGTAGATCCAACAAAAGCAAACTCATTTTATTTAATCCATGTCATTCCTTCCTATTCAATTAAAAGGTGGATAACAATTATTAAAACAGAAATAGGAAAGATGTGTGAAGTGAGTTTAATATTAATCAACAGTTAAAATTTGACAAAAGAGCCTCTTCTTTATAAATTTGCTAAACACAGAGAGAAAAGGGGGCTAATGTAATTTCTAAGGTTCCATAGCCTTGAAGGATGCAGGAATAGGACTTTATTTCTGATACCCATTTCATGATCTTTGCAAAAGTGGAATCTTCAGAAGGGCCTCTGTTCCTAATGCCTCAACAGATTTACACTCAGGGGAGTTGTCCTTCAAACAGTTGGTCCTTAGGCTGTTTAGAGCAGAGATTCTTAATTTTTTGTGTTCACTTCTCTCTGAGAATTTGATGAAATCTGCAAAGCCTTTCTCAAAAAAATGGATTCAGTGATGCTGAAGTGCCCCAAGACATTTCCTAAACAGCATTTCTATCTTGATAAATTTTAATTTCAATTTTCCCCACCCCCACTGAGCCCATTATCAAACTCAGAAGAGAGGGTTTTTGGAATAATGGTGGGTTTTGTTGATGTACTCATGGCACCTCATTTCAAGATTCTGATCTCCCAAGTGACTGAATCTAGATGTTGAATAGCATGGAGGACTGAATATAATGCTTTGAGACAAAGCAGGTAAGTCTGTGATTTCAAAAAGTATTTCCTTAGCCCTACCTTCTCAAAACCAACGGACGGAAAAGAGTTAAACTGCAAAACTGTTACATATTATTTGGAGCTATGTATTTTGTTGGTAGCTTTCTGGGTTAAATGTGTTTTTTGCTGATCTCTCATGTTGGATGGCAACTTTATATTTTAATGAGCATCTCCCTGAAATTTTGAATTATATTAAAGCAGAATACATATATTTAATATCTGTGAATGTCATTTTTTGCAAACTGGATTTAAATAGTGTAAAGCTGTTGATTTATAAAAGGATTGAAAAATAGCATTTTTATAAAGAGTAAAGGACCATATTTTTGTTTATGAACCTCCCATTTTTTATTTTATTTCTCTTTTAAAATTATTTTTATTGTAACTATACATTTGTCAAGGTATAGTATATAATACTTTTTAACCTATTTCTTTACTTTCAAAGTGCAGTATATGCATGAAATTATATTATGAAATAATTCCGTATTAATACAAAGTTTGGCAGCTCCATACCAAAAAAACTGATTGCCAGCAAGACATTTATAATCTTCAAAAGGGAATGTTTCAATAGAGTTATAAGCTAATATTTCCTTCCAACAGATAATTTTCTAAATTGTATTCTTTATTTGTACTGCATCTATGTTTTCATTCCTATCCAATTGGAAGCAGAAAGGCTAATTTATTTTGCACTAAACTGTTTTAAACCTGCTGATAACAAAAGATAAAGCCTTTTAAAGATGTTACTATTAAATATATCCATCCTCAAATCCTGCCATATTGTGTCATTATACTAAGAGGGGTATTCCTGGGAGGGATGTGCAAAGAATGCCTGCAGGTATGCTAAATATATATACTCCCAGTGTGATCTCTACAAGTATGAAGCTTCTCCAAGCTCTCCAGCTAAAAGGAGCAGGCACCTATATCAGGTAGTAATAATAAAAGAAGTTGCTCAAGACGGATAATGACTTTAGAGCAGTGGTTCCAGAACTTTTTCAGTCCACCGCCCCCTTGGTGCTACAAATTCATCCTCGGTGCCCCCCATCCAGGGGTGGGATTCAAATTTCTGTGGGCATGGCCTAATTTGAGGGTGTGGCTTGCTGATCACGTGACTGGGTGAGCGTGGCTTCCTGATCATGTGACTGGGTGGGCGTGGCTTGCTGGTCACGTGACTGGCTGGGCATGGCTTGCTGGCTGGGTGTGGCTTGCTGGTCACGTGACCTGGTAGCTGTGGTTTGGTGGTCATGTGACTGGGTAGGCATAGCCAGGTGACTGGCAAACCAAATACAAGTGGTCCTCACTTAATGGCCAGTTGTTTAGCAAGTGTTCTAATTTATGACTGGCCTCCCCAGCTACTTGACCTGACAGCCATGCACACACATACACACACACTCCCTTCTAACCCTGCCGGAGCAGGTCATTGGACTAGACTAGCCAAAGCATCTCTGATTAGATTCTA